CAGAGCCCTAGCTTTACCTTGACGGGAGTCCAACTATAATCAGTCGGTACCTTGCGGCTTGATCAAAGAGGAACTCGTTACTTTAGTTATTTCCTCATACTGCTAGCATCCCATGCCCAACTGTGGCAAGAATTATTGTCCAAAATACAAGACTTTCAGCAATTCCCCGCTATAGAGTGATTCTTCATAGAAAATAATTCTAGTTGTCAGACTCCATCTGAACACAGGAAGATTAGAAAAGTAAAATTGTATATCCGTCTGTAGCACAACATTGAAATCTACACAGCGAAAACATATCAGTGAATAAAACGCATACATCACATATGCATATTAATTTATAAATGATACTTACGTTCGTCAATACCGCAAACGATGCCATTTTTGTTCACAAGAAGTGGTATGTTTAAAGGAACAAAGTGAGCACTGTCGCAAAGCAACTGTAGCATTTCGTTGACTAGCTGATGCAGACACTGCAAAATTCCCAAGGCGGTTAGCATATTTTGGCCAGCAAGCTGCCTACCTGAATTTCTGAAGAAAGGAATCGTTGGAAAACCAGAAAAATCAACTTCAGAACGAAGCCGCGATTCATTAGGTGAAGTAAATTCTGGAAAAGTTACACTGTTAGAAACCATTATACATTACGCAAGTCGTAAAGCAAATGAATAACTGGAAACGAGCAGCAGGTGGAAATATGGAGCACTGAAAATGGGCATATACTACTTATATTGGCAGTTTGATGTAGCTTTTAGTGATTTAAACTAATAGGCGAGCAAAACCTTTTACCATCCATGAGAAAGTAGGAAATCAGACTATACCAATATTCTGAAGCATGAAGCCTGAGCATTTACTTTCAACACTGTATATTCTCATGCGTAAATCTACGTAGCATTAGATTTAAATTTATCATAAATATAGTGCCTTCAGAAGAAAGCTGCTAGTCTTTGCGCTACTTCTTTCCTAGCACTGCGACTTGCTCGAACCGAGTTACATACTCAGGAGTCATAATTTTTCCTTCCGTCTAAGAAACGTATGAGCGTAGCAGAACTTATACGTCTTACGATCGCAAAACACTTTGGTTCAGACGCTAGCAAAAGCAGGTACAGTTTTAAGTCACATATGTGCAACCATAGCTACGAGAATAGTCTTGTTGCTGTTTGTTGTGAGCCGTGTTGGGCCTTATCTATAACAACAAAGTAATTCGGTTACGCAAGAGCTAAGTTTCAGTTAGAGAGCTAGCAGAAATATGACATCGAGTGGCTACATGCGATCAGGACAGTATCCATTCATTCAGACACCGTGCGTGTAAAGCACTGTGATCAGTGTTATAACTTTTCGAAAATATGACAATATAAGGGGTGATCATTAAAGGGCGAAACGAATGACAGAGTTAATGAATGCATAAGGACGTACGTAAAATATTCGGTGTAGCTGACTCAATCTCCTTCTTGTCTGTAATGATAAATGTTACAAAAGCAGTCAAATCCAAGGGAAAAAAACAGTCATAGCAGCAACTACAGAAAATGCGTTTCACTGGCTAACGCAAAAATCAGTGAAATGCGCAGAAAAGACATCATTTGACTGGCCAAACTTACCCTGAGGAAATAAATAAGGGAAAATGCAGCGATATTCATATCCTCCACGTGAGCCATATACTTCAACATGAAATAAGAGAGCCAGTTGTCGACAAAGGAATCCAGACGGTACTGAAATTCGGTAGGAAGTCGTTCTAATCCATTAATCTGCAAAATCCATTCAAAAAGCAAATCAAATAACTTCAAACAAGAGACAAACCTCGCTTTTACCAAGCCTGAACAACTGCTGACAAATGCACTTCGTCACTACGTCGTAGAAAAACCACGAACACTTCAAGAACGCTATAGGAAGCGAGCCACTTGCCCGAAGTATCAGTATAAAATACTTTAGCATTTCTTCATGAAAGGGTGCCTTATTGGCAAAGCTCAGCGTATTCAGCGAATACTAAAAACAGTCGTTCAGTCAACAGAAACAGACAGTCTCTAAATGAAAATGTGACGCAGAAATAAGGAGAGCAGCTTGCTTTAGATTCCAAGAAGCTGAAAAGTTGACATTTACCAAAAGTAATGAGTCTTCTCTCAATTAACGAAATGCTTGGATCACCTTCCTGTTCACCAAAATTAGAAAAGCGATGCATTTATCGGCAAAGCCGCTGTTTCAGCAAACTGTCAGATAGATCATTTAAAGCATTATTAATACCTTTTTACCATAAATCGATTTCGAATGGAAATTGAGCCTAATCTAGCGTCTGTTTTTTCTACATACAATGGCTATAAGCATCACATTTTTTCTATAAACTATGACGTTAATAAAAAGAAGCATCTAATCATGTTCCACTTTGCACGCGAGTTTCACCTCTTCACGTTTTAACTTTACTTCATTGATACGTGAGGGCCTGGAACTGGTGCAGGAGACCATTCGAGCTGGTTGAGGTGACGCTGTTACCTACAACTTGTCAGTCGTATCTTCCCACGACCATAACATCGTAACGTGCTCTACATGGTTTGACGAAGGTTCGGGAGAAGTTTGCAATAGTTCATGAAGGTTGTCATCCCGCAAGAACTTCCGACAAATCACTTGATAAAAACGCTCAAAGGAAATAAAAATTGGGAAAATAAGTGCCAGCTACCGTCTCAACCTGAAGAACATCAACGACTTGGATAACTCCAGGAGGAGATTGCTAAACGGGTCTTAAATGTCACTGAGATCTTCGCAGCCAGCCATAGCTCTGCAAGGACACTATTAGCAGCGAATATACCAACGTCTGTATCAAAGAGTGGGCTACTAAAACATGCCAGACCGGAAGGTCTGTAGAACTTGTTAGGAAATGGATCGACGCAGATTAAACGTTCCATATGGAAGCAGGTGAGAACACAGCTCTGGCTGGCGGTTTGGGTTCACAATAGAACAAAAAAGAAGAGTGCACCATTTGTAGTAAGCCACAGAAATATATAGCCTTGTTTAAAACTGCTGCTTTTATAGATGAATAAACGAACAATAAAAATACTCCAAGCTTACAGTCCGACCCAACAAGCAGTTCTATGAACTGGAAAACGCAGTACAGAAGAAGACTACACAGACCATTTTCCAATGAGACTTCAACGCAATCGTAGGAAAAAAACAATGTACGAAAATGAGGTGTTTATCTGCAAATACAGAAAAGACGAAACATATGTGTGCGGAGATTGCTTCGTAATTTTTGCTGAAAGCAGCCGTTTCTACACTGTGAACAACGTTTCTCAGAAAACCACGTTCACAGTAGGTCGCTCCACCGTTGAAGTCATAGTCTGCTCCGTGGAATGTGATAACGAAAACGCTGTCTTGAAAGCTTTATTTCTTGACATGTTCTTGGTATTTAGTGCTGTGCCTAGAGAAATTCTGCTGGCTTCACTGCAAGACGTATGCATAAGCTCAGAGCTGCTACGTTAGCTGGTTGGATACCTGACTGATAGTTCAAGGGAAGCAGCATTTCCGGCAAACACAGATTAACATAAGCCATCTACAATGCTCAGCATGTTTAACTCCTCTTTCGACACTAAAAACATCTGAACCGGTGAAATCGATTAAATACGCTGACCACATAGTATCAGTTTTAGCCAAGCATGATATTTCAGAACAGCACAGACTTCAAACATAGTACATGAAGTAGAAGTTTGGTCTCATAAGTACGGCCCCGTAATTATAAATGCACTAAGATTGGCGCATCAAAAGTAGTCGGAACGAATGCTCCCATGGGTAAATAACGGTGGTTTGATTTACATGATATCAGTTCAATACGCCCACTCGCTTAAACACCTTGGGTATATCATCACCAAATCCCTAGACTGGTTAGGTTATGTGAGATTAGTGTTCATCAACGTTCGGAGAGTTTTACACTATCTACTTCAGCCTCAGAGATTGCCGACAGGTCCTTCCAAAAAATAGTACTGCTCGTTGTGTACAGGTGACCTATCTTTTGATTTATTTAGCCTACGCTGGTCCAGTGATACATGAAGGAATAGGCAGCGAAGAATATACAGTCCTAAGGATCGCCGTTCCGTTGATCGACCAAATCAGCAATATCAATAAAAAAAGTGATGCGAAAACAGACTGCCGTCCAGGTATGTCGGTGTGGTATTTTGGCCGGTTGCCGTAAATTACCCAAGTAACCTGCTGTATGTAAAAGCATGTGCCTAGCAACCTAAGGGGATCAGAAGAAATGGTTGCACGGTGCTACATATTGGAACTGAACTATGCCGCAGGTACGCTACGTCGTTTCCACCGAGAATCCTTTGAAACCCAGCAGAAAACTATCATTTTCAGATACATATGCAAAAGAACATATGAACGTTGATTAATGACCAGCTTGTCTTAAAATTTATCTGCAAATAGTTTAAAAAGCTTTTGTGCATTTAATAAAAACAATGAGGCTCTCTGTGCTAAGAGCAACGCAAGAGTAAGCTAATAAACTTTGATTCAATGATTACACAATCGAATCATGTCCACTGCTTGGAAGCCTGAGTGTTAATTAGACTATAACTAGCCGCTGGTGCTACAAACATGCATGCTGGAACGAACGAATATAGTTATGAAGCTGTGTATCTACGCACTGGAGGTGACCAAGTTCTACGGAACCCATGCTTAAACCACTCCTACAGAAGGAGGCGGTGCGAATTAGTCGTATACTTCTTATTTTATCTAGCGTGTTCTGTTTAACAGATGCTCACCAATCGAGTCAACTGCGTCCAGGTCTTTCAATCTCTGATCGCTGTTTAGCCATATACCCGGC